GGTTTTGTACTGCTGTTAAACAGCACAAAACGCATAAAAACCTGTCGAAAACTCCTTCTTTACATATTTTCCCCCAGAGCATTATAACTTATGCACATCTTTTGATGTGCTAGTGATGCTATGCGCTACGTGCTCAGAAATTTTTACAATACTGAAGCCCACTAAGCAAAACTTACAAGGATACGCTTAGATCTCACAAACGAAAAACAAAAAGCCTAGCGTCTTTCTAACTGACTTCAGCTGCATGCCATCAGTTTGAAATACGCGTGAAACTGCAGGAAATTTTAAACAAGGTGCCAAAACAGTTTGAATGCAGTTCTGCAGGATTTAATAACTGGCCAACGCGCGGGCTGCCGTTGCGAAGATGCGTTTTTTGTATAGTGCCCCGCAGATTTTTGTCGCTAATGGCACTGTGTTTTCCGGCAGATGCTTCTAGCTGAAAGAATTTCAGACTGGCCGCCAGGGCTGTTAGGAAATAGCCCTTCAAAATTCCAGTCTTCTAGCTTTTAAGATTCCCGAGTTAGCAACTTACCCGAAAAAAAACTTTCACGGGCCCGCGTGGGTACACCGCATAGTCAACAGCTGGGTTTGAACCCATCAATACCTATCTATATGGACGGGGAACATCCCCTTAAAATTTCAGTCTTCTAGCTCCTCAGGTTTCCAAGTTATCAGCCTACCCGAAAAAAATTTCACGGGCCCGTACGTGGGTACCACGTATACCGGGGGGCTGAGCTTGAGCTCTTTAATACCCACTTGGATGGGAAACGTTCTCTTAAAATTAGAGTGTCTTCTAGCTTTTCAAATCCTCGAGTTAGCAACTTACCCGAAAAAACTTTGGTGGGCCCAAGCGTGGGTACAACGCATACCCGAGGGCTGGGTTTGAACTCAATGAGACCATAGGCGGACGAGGAACATCCCCTTAAAATTTCAGTTTCTAATTTTTCTGGTTCGCGAGTTAGCGACTTACCCGCAGAAAACTTTCGCGGGCCTATACGTGTGTACCAGGCGGGTAGGACCACCCATTTCGGGGATGGAGGTCCGCACTTGCATGCGGATTAAGTTCTGAAAGTTTCAGCCCTGTAGCTTTTGTGCGTCTCGAGATGAAAAATCAGTACAGCGCACACACGGACACACACACACAGACAACCTCTCGTCAATATGCGTTTTCCGCATTGCATAGCTGCAAAAAACGCACAACAAAAACACTAAAGATGTTCCTTCAAAAATCACCTGCTTTCGGCGCTTCACTTGGCTGCGATACTGCAGGGAGTGCCCTCACAGAACTGCCACTCTGGGAAATGACTGAACTTGTTGAGCTAAAATAAAAGTACAATGAAACAAGTGAAAGAAGGAACTCGAAAAGATGCGAAAAATCGAAAGAAGGAATTATAAAGACAATAAATGTTACCTGACAGGTTTAATAACAGCAGAAGCAGCAGCACGAATGTTCGCTAACTCTTTGCGACTTTCTTCCAATGCAGCTTCCAGAGAGCTAATTTTCTCGATGAGTTCACTGTGCAGAAGCTTGGCATTCTCCAGTTCCTCAGTCAAACGACCTACTTCCTGTTCTTTTTTAGTTAACATGCTGGTGATCGAATTCAGACGGAAACGCAGCTCTTCTGCAAAAAATTCACATAAAACACTTCAAATGCTGCATACTGATTTTTCTTCTGAATATATAAATCGAGGGAGCCTGGCTCGCAGGGAAAAAAAAACTTGCTCTAGGCACTTCATACCTCCATCGATATCTCTATCCGGAGAGAATTTCCGATCCGATGTGACGCCCTACGCTTAAAATGGAATCTTGATTTTTTAATTGCTTGAAAATGACATTCTCCGAGGGATTCGTACCAAATTTCAAATTTTTTAAACAAAAACTTTACAAACTTTCCAAAACTTAATTCAGCAATTCCACGTTCACCTGGCTAAATTATCCACTTAGTAGTTAAATCTCGCGTTGTACCAGCTAAAACTTATATTCAGGATCACACACTAACTCACCTTTCTACATTTTCTCACACAGCAAAAATGATAGTGCCACTCAATAAATATTTTATTCCCTTATAACTTCTCTCTCGCACCAATTCGCTCAGGAATGCAAGTAAAATAAATAGAAAAAAAAGCTTCTGCAGTGATTAATTAGAATTACCTTTCGTGTCGTTTTCTTGTTTTAGTTCAACAAGTTTCATTTCGGATTCACTTAATTTGCCTTCTAAATCACCACATTTTTTCGTCAGCTCCTCCACCTTATTTGACAAATCCTGAAACCAAGTCTGTTTTTCTTTTTCTAATTTTAACAAATAAAGTTCCCTGTGCAATATCATACTTCCAGGAAATCGTGTGTTCCATCCACAAAAAATGCAAATTTTAGGCAAAAAAGCAAACCTTATTCTGAAGGTTGAGTTCTTCCACCTGTTTCAGCTGCGTGTGGAGAAGTGGCGCTGTTTTCGATTGTGTGGTTCCTGTCATCGCTTCAGTCGGCCAGCCTGTTCGCGGCAACGTTTTCTAAAATTTCCACGAAGTTGAACGAGCCACAGACAAAAACAGACGCTTCTTAACAAACTTATTTACTTAAAGTGCTAAACGGGAACAGAAAAGTGGCAGAGGATCACTGCCGGTGAATTTCAGCTAACACTCCACACACTGCAAACAAGTTTCAGCTTAAAAAAAAAAACAAACGTATCAATGCATCCGCCCCGACGAGTTCGATGATATGACGATAATTATAAAGAGTAATTGGAATAAAAAAAAAAAAAAAAACA